GGCATCTTCCTGTTTGCAGAGCAAGATTAAGGGGCTCTAGGTTCTTTGGTCTGGACTTCATAGGAGACAAAGCTATAGGGCTGTATAAGATTTTTTTTGCCTTTGCCCTTCACCTGTCTTGTTCAGATCTATGATATTCTAAGCATACCTAAATATTTATCAGTCATAGTTTTGATGGTTCTTCAGCACTATCAGAAATCTGGACTGCTACAGTCTATTGATTTCTGTGTTGGTGGTCTAAGGCTATTTTTCTGAGAAAGTTGTTGGATGCCGAGGAAAACAGATGTAGGCATCGCTGTGGTTTAGGTACCTGATTTTAAGTCTAGTGCCCAGCTGAGGTGGAAATTAATGGCTGTGGAGCCTTCTGTGTGTTGAGAAAGATTTTTTGTTTAAAATTATCCCAGATCAGGAAGATTTAGGAAGAGGAATGGGGAATTATGACTGGCTGATTTTTGCTGGAGTAGCACAACTGCCATCTACTATGTATTTACAGTTCACAGCAATGGCTTGATCTAGGTTTAAAAAATTCATAAACTCAAAGTTTAATGTACAGTAAGGTAGCTTCCAGAGAAGTATGTTACTTTATATTATCTTTTTCTCTTCATTAGGAATGAGTGAGTGTCTAGTATACTAGAAGAATCAAATTTTGTTTTGAATTTTTTCTTCTATCTAGTGTTCTTCATCTCTTCTTCATTAACTTCCAATATCATTGTCATCTAGTATGTATGTGGTGCAGGTGTTTGCTGGCTACTGCTTCTCTATATTGAACCATCAAATGAGTTGGAAGATGCCCATGAAATCCTTCAGTTTGTAGCTATGGAATAGAACAGAACACTTGTTTCTTTCTTTTAAAAAAAAAAAAAAAACCAAACTATTCAACATGTGCTTACATTCTAGTTCCATTTGAAGACAGCTTAGCAAAAAAAAACAAAAAAAACAAACTATTCAACATGTGCTTACATTCTAGTTCCATTTGAAGACAGCTTAGCTCCACTTTGAATTCTTTTGTTGTCCATAGATGAAGCTGCTGGATGTTTTATGACAATTGCTGACTGGCTAAAGCCATAGGAACACAAACAGAAATTTAAATTTGTTATCTGAAAAAGTGTCACTACTCAGACATTTTAATGTTTGGCCAAGATTAAGCATCTTTGTAAAGTGTTAGTCATCTACGCTGCTTTTTTCCTTCATAAATGCTATTAGCTCAGAACATAATTTCTTTAAGCCAAATGTGGTGTTGGCACCAATTTAGAACTGGTTTGAAGACTGGCTTTCCAGTTATGTAACATTTGTAAAACTACAATCAGCATAGTATTCTGCAATAACTAATTTGAGATGACTGTAATGCCTAGTTCAGCAGTTAAAGAATTTAGCTCACTGTAAGATAACAGATACCCATCTTCAAAATGAACTGTAACAATGTGGAAAATCGGAAAGCCGTGGATTTCATCTTACTGCTTTGGGGCAGTTACGCTATCAAAGAAAGAATACTTCTGCATATATTTTAGTACCAGAATGATTAACATCTGATGGTAAGATCAATTCTACTACCCAGCCCCCTGCAGCATACATTTCAAATTTTGAGTACATATATCTTGAACAGTAATGTTTTATTTATTTTATCCTGCCTAATGAATTTTGTAGTCTTATAGCTTTAAATTAAAACAGTGTAGCAGAACACATGAAACTAATTCCTCATGATAAAGAATCATGTAGACTCAACTATGCATATCAGCATAGCTGCTGGTAAACTATGTGGATATTTTATATCCTATATGGTAATGGCATATGATATTTTGTTCTGATTGTATACTGTTCCCAAATACTTTTCTATTTCTTGTGCATAAATTTTTACTAATCCTAATCTTCTATTTTATTCAAAAGCATTTTAGAATATATCAGAAAATATCAGAGCAAGCATACTCAAAAAAATATACTGGATCAAGGACTATATTTGATATATTTGCCATCTAAAAAAAAAGTGGTGGGGAACGTGTTCTTGTATTTATTTCTTCTGTTCAACTCCTCCTGTACCTTTAATGCAGGCCTAAAAGAAAACTACTCAGCTAGGCTTTAACGGTAGCATTTCCTTCACTTCCATAGGCATATTGTCAGATGTGGAAGAAAGAGAGGCTACGATACAGCATTCTTATTTCCTTCTCTTCAAGATTTTGCATATCACAGGCACCATGTTTTCCTTTGCAGATTTACCATGTTCTAATTTTCAGTGTGGCGTTAGACAAACTGAAATGGGAAGTTGTGAGAGGGAATGGTAATGAAAGAAGCAGTTAGCATTAGCATAAAATTGAACTTCTTACAGAGATTAAATACAAATTAATTCATCATTTATTCAGCATTAGCTTGGAAACCATTTTATATATTAACAGCAAAATATTATTACACCACCAAAATTTCTGCCAAATGCCACATTTATATATGAAATTCTGAAAGTAAATTTTTCTAATATTCATTTTTGTTTTATGCTGATTAGGTCTAATTCAATCATGCAGCATGGACCCATGAAAGAGAATGATTTTCACTTGGAGTTGCACAGAGCATCTAACATACATTTGAATACTTGATCTAGAAAGACAAAGGGCATTACTCCCGCATTCTTTAGGAACTTTAGTAAAAAAGAGAACTCAATAGCTAAACCCATTATATTCTTTAAGGCCTAGAAACAAGTTTAACTGGAACATGTAATTTCTGGTTGTTTTTTTATTAATCTGTCAGTGTAACTTTGACAGAAATATCCCTGCTGTTTTTAGCACTGTCATGTTGCTTGCTTATTATGGGTTAGCTGTGGCAGTGTGTTGTGTTTTTCAGAAAATTAATCTTTCTTAAAACTCTATGATAAGATACTGGTGACTTATGCTATACTGCCAGGCCTATTGAGATAGGTCTCATGTAGGCAGGTTTCTTCTGACCATTGTGTAGTGTGGTTTTCGTTGTTGTTGTTCTCAAGTGAACTTAATTTGGGGATTTAAACATGATGCCAGAAGTCTATGAAGGGACAGCTGTAGTGCTGTGCAGGTGGTTTCATTGAGCTGGGAAAAAGGTGCTGTTTCTTAGGAGTCTTGTCATTTTGTTAAAGGTATGTCTAAAGGGGAGAGCTTTTAAGTGTACCATTTTAGCACTATATCTGGGTACTACAAAAAATATTTGAGAACCTTTAAGGAAGATACAGGCTATAATCTCTAGCATTGCAAAATACTAACTCCTGACTAGAGCTGGTTCAAGCTGGAGAAGCTCAGCTCTTCACCTTCCAGTCTGTGTTTTGTGTAATATAAAGATGATTGTACTAAAAAGAAATAAATTTTAAAAGGATGGCTTTTGATTTTTTTCTCCCCTGAAACTGGTTTATTTTCTGGTAGCAACATCTTGTTGGGGGTTCTTTTAGCTTTACGGGTTGTACAGTCTTCACCAATTTTACTTCTGACATTGAAAACTGAGTACAAATGCTGTAGAAAGATGATCAGTTAGGCTAATCTATCTTTTTGTTCCTTAACAGCCTGATGCAAACACATGAACACAACTATAGGATAAATCTGTTTTTCAAATAGAGGAATTCATACTTGTCTTTTTAAAAAGACATCTGTGAGCTTGATGTAGATTCTTTTAAAAAGCAAAGATTTTTTTTATTTGAATTATTTGTACCCACTTAGTTTTCTAGGCAAGTTGAAGTTACTTTTTTTAGTAATAATAGATTACCTTTTCTATTATGTACTGTACCTACGAACTTGTATATGAAGTGTCTTCTAAGAATTTTTAATAGCATGGCAACATTTATTGATTATAGATTGTTAATTTTTCAGCAAAAGTACTGAAAAAAACAGCAGCAGGACAAAGAAACCAGTGATAGAAGTAAATATAAAATAACCTAGTTTCTTTAGCATAATAAAATCAGTGCAAGAAATGTATTCTTTAACTTTTTTTTTTCACTGAAAGTTCTAATGTGGAAGCAACAGACATTTTCACTGGTCCTTTTGGGCACTGAATAATATTCATTTGCCAAAACAGGATTAGTGAGTAGATCTCATTAGGAATTTGCACATGACTTTTTATATAGATAAAAGGGAGCAAATTCCTCAAAGTCAAAAAAAGTCGGGAAAATAATATCTAAGAATCCAAGCAGGTAGAAAGCATTACTGCAAGGATATTTTTTCAGTGCCTGCCAGGCAAAATTAGCTTGCCTTCTTTCTTAAAAGGATGTACGCTAAGTATCAGCATAGTTTCTGATAACTTAATGAGTAAGATCCACAACAGAAGATAACTAAGCATTGAAACAATTTAAAAATGTATTATTTTACTTGAGTACAATCTTAACAAAATAAAATATATAGTGGTGGTAAAGATTGTTTCGTTTTCATTAGAAGTCACTCAAATTTGTTGATAATCTTTTGTAGAAGAAAGTCTCATTATTAAAAAAAAGATAGGAATGTAATGTTTTTATGTACAAACCTATTTGTAAAGGCATCCTTTGTTCTTCATGGCATATTTATGACCTGACCTTCTACCCCATCACACTTTAATCCTCAGAAACACTGTATTTATAGTCCAGGTTTTCAAAAATAGAAGTTCACAACATACATTAATCATCACCTTCACCTTCTGCTTCCTTTAAAATTAATATTATGTAAAGCACCCATTAAAATTGTTCCCAAACTCACTGAGTGGGTAAGGATTGTTGGATAATCTCCCTCTGTTACAACAGCAATTTTTCTGCATAGTGCTTAGAAGAGGTATATTTGTGAGCAGCTGATAAAAAAACTTGTAGGCCAAATAATTGCTTTACCATTGTATAATCTGATGGTATTAAAGCCATTTTGATATGCCAGCTTAAAAACAAGATGAAGTTTTATTGTTTACATCTGATGCTTGGAATACTTGTATCTGTTGGAGAATTGATATCCTGTGTCATAGTCACAAGTTAATTTTATGGAGGAAAAAGAAGGGACTGCAGTCATTAACACTATTGCATATATGTATACAATTCTTAGACATATGAAGGACCAAAACAAGAAGGTTGCCAATCTGAAGCACAATCAGCAAATGGAGAAAAAGAAGAATGCACAGTTGTTGGAAGAAGTTCGTAGACGAGAGGACAATATGACTGACAACTCTCAACATTTACAAGTGAGTTTATTTTTCAATTGTGTTTTAAAACTGTCAAAGAAAGTACACTTCTGTTTCACTGTGTGTCTTCCCACAAAGAGCTGATGCCTCTCCTTTCGTACCAGAGGATGCACTACTGACTTCAGCTGCACCCATGAAATATTTAATATTTAGGATGAGGAAAAAATAATTTTAAACTCTCTCAAGAACTGTATGTTACTTATTTAGAAACAAGCCATTATAGATTGTGTTGAGGAGTCAGAAAACAGAAGCATAATTATCCTTTCTCTATTCTACTTCTGTGCTATTCACAGCATTATATCCACAAGGCCTAGCGAGGTTACAGCGTGGTTATGAATGTTCAGCATGTTTGAACATCAAGTAATAGCCTGCTGTGATTTTTTTTTTAAACTGGGTAGACATTTACATATCCAGGCGATTAGCTCTGTAAAATACAATTTAGCTTTTCAAGAGCGTTCAATTGTGTAACAGAAATTCTGTGATATTTTCCAGTGTGGAGATTGAATGCAACAACATTTGAGACCCATGAGCCCCCTCCTGTTCTATGTTTCTAGATGTAGCTCTTCACATTAAATTCCACTGTCGGGGAGCACAATTCTGTATCAGCAGGGATATCATCTGGTTGCATACTCAGATCACTTAATGAGTGTGATTTGATCTTATTAACTCTGTACATGCATATGTAGCTGGTTAAAAGGGTGAGGATAGATTGTCTAATGGTGAATTTAGAATCCTCACCAAAGATCATTTTTATCTTATGTACTTAGATGTAACACAGAGGAGCACTGGAGACAGCTATAGCAGTCTGTTTTCACAGATCTCATTAATTATTACTGCAGAGTTACTATATCAACAACATTTTTATTACAGTTGGAAAAAAAGGTTCTACTGTATCTTTATTTAAGATAAGAGTTTTTATTCTAGGAGAATTTCTACAGTTTTTAAGTTACTGAGTTCAGGCATTGAGATCTGAAGGATAGTTAGCTGATCTGGTTAAATGATACATTACATACTAGGGAATTTGTATTAAAAGACCACAACACAAATTCAATGCTTGACTTAAAAATTATTCTCTGAGATCTGACCATGAAAAACTATCAAGAGAAGTACTGATTTCTGTCAACATCAATGTCTCCATACCCAGTCTCTATAGACAAGTCTAATTTACAGTGCAAAACATCAATTTTGCCTTGATCTGGTTAATATAATGGGTTTCTGGAAAATTTTTAATGGATGGAATTTGACCCTCACATGCTTCAGAGTACTGTATTTCTCATGTGTTCCTATATGCAAAAATGGAGAAACAAACACCACACCTCTCTTCAGGCTTCTGTTGGTGAAACTACATCAGAATCAAGTTCAGGAAATGATACATTATTTATGTATCTGTGTAGTGTTATGTATACTTTATAACCTTGGTCGTTATATACTGATTGCATCACCATACATCCTGCTGCACATGATAGAGCAAGAAAGCCTTGTAAAGTATTTGGTCTGACAATATGATATATCAGAATTAAATTTCAGTGTTGAGCAGCTACTTGTAATTAATGTGGTTCAGTAAAGAAAACATATTACAGCTTTATTTTTCAGTGTTATTTTGGAAATCTGTCAGAGTGGTGTGATCACTAGAGAAGTAATTCCTAGGGTCTTTGATGTGACTGTTATACTTGGAGCTTTCAAGTCGTCATGAGAAGGGGCCTACCGAATGTAAGCAGCATGGCTGAATAGCCTGAATTTAGAAAGCAAAAACCTTGTCTGGTGCATAGCTCTTCTGTGCCATTCACCTGCTATAAAGCATTTACACACTAAGAACAATTTATGAAAACCAGTTAACTAAGAACTGTTATTTCTCTGTTACTATGCCTTAAAACATTAATATTTTAATATTGTGTACTCAATGTTACTTTCAGTAATGTATGTGTGTATGTGTTGTGGCCCATCCTACACTTGCTGAGCTGCTGGGAAAGTGAAAACAAGAGGATCCCATCTGCTTCTGCCTTGTCAGTAGGTGCTTTGCATTCCCAACTCTTCCTCCAGCAGCTGCAAGAGTAACAGGAGGAAGTGAATATTGGTTGTCTGCACTGCTGGCATGCTGGAACAGCTAATCCCGCCTTCTCTGGCATAAGCGAAACAGGCAATCTGCTGCTTTCAACCGTGTGCTACCATAACTAGTTAGTCTTTTCTGTGTCTAAAACATTTCCTCATTTCTTCATGTCAACCATTGTGTTCATGCAGGGCTAGATACATTCTCTCTTTGCAGTTTGCTTCTTTAGTGAATTAGACTGGCTGCCACTCCATAGATCACAAACAAGGCAAATCCACCTGAATGAAAATGGCTTGTTTGACCTTACAGTTGAGCCATAAAATACCTGAAGATATGCAGTTTCAAACAGAAGTTTGACTCTACAGCACTACAATATGTTCCAGTAAATCCCTAAGGAAACAAAGTGAATGGAGAGGGGTGGAGAAAAGCTGCTGATCTTGATGAACATGTGGCAACTTTTTCCTTCCCCAGCACATTAAGATACAGAGTTGCTTTGGTCTAGTAGGTACAGGAGAGTGATACCTTCAAGGGACCCTTTCCAAAATGGGCTTGATAACATGTGTCCTTGTATGGTTGCTTCTTTCATAAGATTAAGGAAAATGGGGTAGTAGTAGTATCTGGGGGTTTTTTTGGTTCTTCTTGTTAAGTAAAGGAATTGTTATTCTTTGTGGAAGTTCCTGACGGTTTGCTTTAGAAAGCAAAATCACAAAATTCATTGTTCCAGTAAGAAATCATGATACTACTTCTAAATCTAATGGAAACATGGCCCTGCCTCACATAGTGGGAGCTTGAGAGTTCCCTATCATTGCAAGATTCAGGGAGCTTTTAGTTGGTCTATGTAAATGCCCTAGTGAGCCTTGCAAGTAAGACAAATAATTTGGTATCGAGTAGTGGGGTAACGTGATTCTGATGTGCATTTATTCTGCTGATAGCAGAGTATTTTGATTTTAAGTTTTTCACTGGTATTGGTTATTTGTTTCATATGTGTAAGGTAGCTACAAAAATTAAATAAGAGCATCAAGTCATGTTCTTATATGAATCTGATAAATAGGTGGTTGACTGGTTAAAGCACCAAACAAACTCTAAAGCCAACTAGCCTTGTTATACAATAGAAGTTTTTTTTTAAAGTTGTTTAAAAAAAATCCTCCTCCTCCACAGTCTCAGAGAGGTACACTAAGACTAACCAAAACTAAGGGCAAACTCAAACAACTTTATTGCACAAAACCACCAAAACCGCACTATAGAAACCAACGAGAAACAGGGATAAATCAAAATCAATCAACACTCCAATAACATTTAACACATAACAGGTTCAAGGTGTCAGTCGGGCAGGGTATTGTTACTGCACAGCCATACACAGGGCAAAGGTGATCCAAAGTGCACACAGTCACTCACGGGGGGGGGGGGGGGGGGGGGGGGGGGG